ATAGTTGTAAGTAGCAGGAAGAAGTGGGAGAAGACTCGAACGATATTTCTTCTTGTCACTTAGTTGTAAGTAGCAGGAAGAAGTGGGAGAAGACTCGAACGATATTTCTTCTTGTCACTTAGTTGTAAGTAGCAGGAAGAAGTGGGAGAAGATTGGAACGATATTTCTTCTTGTCACTTAGTTGTAAGTAGCAGGAAGAAGTGGGAGAAGACTGGAACGATATTTCTTCTTGTCACTTAGTTGTAAGTAGCAGGAAGAAGTAGGAGAAGACTTATTGTAAAGATTATTTTAAAATTACTCCATAAAGTATGTAATCTTACCATGTCAGCTATAAGTTCGTCTGTGTAACTTTGCAACATTTTTTGAAATATTATCGAGACAGATTGTTCCAGAGCTGTCAGCTCCTTTGGGAAGCCGCTGGATCCAACCGAACTCCCTCGATGTAAATCCAACGGTAATTACGAATCCATACAGAAAACGAGAGACTACTTGTTCTGTGTGGATGAAAATGGCAAATTAGAAAAAAGTCCCATCTTTAGGAACCGCACTCTGTCTACCTTGCCGTGTTGTAAGTTATCATACATAGCTAAGGTCGTTTTTTTTTTGTAGTTAGAAAAAAGAACACTGGCAGAATCAGATATCGAAGGTTCCGTTATCACCGCTTTGATTATTGAAAAAAAAAACATATAAAAATAAATTTTTACTTAATGATTTCAGCATTACTTCTGAGAAAGAAAATTAGAGTAAAGAGCCGTTGTTAAAATTGATTATTTTCAACGATGTTTGGTAGACATTGTGAACGTATTTTTTTAATTTTTACCTTATTTTTATTTTACGATTTAACCAAATTTCTTCTGCCATACAAGCCTCAGGCGGGAGTTGTCTGCCGCCAAAGGGCGAGTTGCTAGAAAGCATAATTCCATGAAGTATTTGTGTCACTAAAATCTCCTGGAAATGCCACCTCTTAATTATTATTAGTTTTTTTGTGTGTCACTAAAATCTCCTGGAAATGTTACACACACACAAAAAGATAATAATTAAGAGGTGGTTAGTTGAAAATTTCACACCAAATGTAAAATGATTATGTGTAGGTATGTTTTGTATCTAATTTGATGCACACAATTTTTTTATTAATACAAATGTAATTTAATATATAAACAATAACACAATTTACAATTCGGTTATTACAAATATTGATCTATGTACAAACGTTTTACAAAC